GTTGCCAAATAATCTAAATCCCACAGTAATCCAGGTTTGGCAGACAGATGTGAGAAAAATAAGCCTCAAACTGGCATGGAAATACAGGCAGGAAAAAGAGTTAAATCCCCTCTTTGCTACTTCTCTGATCTCAGTTGCTTGCTTTCTCAAGAGAGACTAGGATACATTTTAGCTAAAATGTAGGCATAAGTAATTAATATATCACCTTATATCAAGTCAGATTTGATGCATATATATGGGTGTTTGCTATAGGAAACAGGTGAATTTTAACAAGATGATGTATCCTCAATCAATATTCCAGGGAGTCTCAATTAGCCATGGCTCTCTGGTGAATATCCACTGTTTCAACAAAAACAAGAGAATCATATGCATATGAGTTATAAAAGATTGCTTTAACTCTTGGAATTGACATAGCATATTTTGAATGCAAAAATAAAAATATTCTGATTGCAGTGGAATAAATCATCAAATATCAACTGCAATACAAGTCTTCTCTTTCCCTCCCTCCCTCCCTAAAATGGGTGCAACTGTATTCTTTGGCTCACCAAAAAAATCTTCTAAAGACCAATATAACATCCGTTTTTGAAAATTTGTAGTGGCGAAATCTTAAGCATTTTTACTCACAAGTGAGTCTTTCTCCCTGGGGAGTATGCTGATACTTACAAATATATTATAATTCTTACACAAGAATTATGTATTAATAGGCAGAGATAAAAATTAAAGAAAACAAATGAAATACATTCTTTTCCTTTCTACCTGTACAGATTAACTCTTAAACACATTTGGGAGTTTAAGTTAAATATCTTTGAAACATGTTTAAATTTGAGATGAATAAATATTTTATATCATTTAAAGACTTTTCTGAGATCCATCAGTCCATTGCGTATAATTAATCAGTTGGATCCAAAGAGTTTTGATTCTCTTTAGAGCATCTGTTAACAGAAGCAGCAGGTGATTTTCACCAATTCTTCCTACTTGAACTAACTCCAATGCCCATTAGGAGTCTATACAAACCCTCTAGAATAGATTTTGATGCTTCTTGTATTTCATTAGTGGACACTAAGAAACACTTTTTTTGATGTCCAGGCAATTTCAATATCTAAAGACTTTTGGAAAGCAGAATTTTAAATCCATATGTAGCAAGCCATTTTTTTTCATTCTTAAAATACAGTTGACTGTATACTTAGCAAATGATGACGTGCTTTTATTAAAATATACTGGAAATGATGGAAAGCAAGTACAGTATTCAATTACCTGCAAGGGCCAAACAAACATCTAAAGGGATCTGGGATCTGCTTCAGATAAGAAGCAGATGTGATTTTCTCTTAGAACAGATGTGGGATGTGGATTGCTGTGGAATATTGTTGAAGAATTATATTTATAACAGAGAGTTAATAAGTTGACTTATTTGTTTAAATGGGACACAATAATTGATCAGCTCAAGACAAAACTAGGTGGCAGTTGCAGAAACTTTGTATGCTGTCAGCTAATACTGATGGTATAAGAGTTAGGGGTGGCAAAATTTGAAAGTAGAGGAAAGCAAAGGTAATTAGTATCACAATGATTCTGGGTCAACAGTTATATTAAATTTCTTATCCTTGTTGATACTCCTCTGCCAAATGTAGGAAGCCAGTTACTGACTTCATGGGTTGTGCTAGCTCTAGACCAGACTTCATAGACCGTTTTAGGTATTGATCCATTGGTGGCTGAGTATTCAAATATCCTGAATCTACATTTGATCTCCATATAGTATATGCCTTGTCTGCGTATGCTTTTCTCAGTCATGTATCTTTTCTGTTTCAGGTCTTCTTGTGGATGTTACAGGACACTTTAGTTATGTCTTCTATGCTTCCAGCTTCTTCATGGTGTCAGCTGCTCTCTTCATGGGACTTAGCTTTTGCACAATGGAGGCCAAGAACAAATTGAAAGAAATTAATAAGCCACCACCTGAAGATCCCTCCAAGGGAAAATACATAGAAGTGCCAACTGAATTTGGGCCTATGAAGAATGGTCCTCCTGAAGTAATCTATATAACAAGCATCTGAATGCAAAGGAGCTGGAGGAATATTGTATTATGTGAAAATGCAAAAGGGGGGGGAAGGGACACGACACAGAGAGAAGTGCCTTTTTTTGTGTGCTGACCTCCTTCCTGCTATAATGGTCTCAACTGGGTTGGGTTCAGATTTCTAGAGAAATTATCCAGATGAGAAGATATAAACCCAAAGCCACCTATGGAGCACTTTAAACAAAATGTATAGGATGCAAGTCTTATGACAGCATCTGATATTACTTGAAGCATAACAATTGTTGTTATCAGGTTTTTTTACAGACTCTTAGTAAAAATAGGACATTCACCCTTTGGGTTATGAACTACCTTGTTCTCTAAAAAAAAAAAAAGCAAACCCAGCATAATATTGCTTATACAGGACATTTGGTTTTGGAGAGGCCAATTTGTTGTAGTTAAGCTTGTATGAAGTCAATTGGCTGACTTCTCTCCAAGCATAGGTCCAGAATTCTTATTTATTGATCTTTACTGCTAGTTTCTTGAATGTTAAGCAGAATTGTTCATCCCTGTTTTATAATTTGAGGGCATTTTCTAGAGGAATATATCATGCCACTTAAAGCAGCCTGAGTGGATTTATATGCACTGCTGTAACCAAAGTGAATCTTTTCTGCATTTCAAGGCCTTTTTGTGGAGACAAAGTCTCAACACTGAAACTGCAACTTAGAGTAAAAGTGGATAGCTCCAAAGTGCCTATACATTAACCAACAGTGTCTTAAATTTCTTTTCTTCCTCTTGGAATATATGTTGCTGCAAAGAAAGTGTCATGACCATAAGCTGAGATAGTCATTTTATTTTTCCAAGAATAGTTCTTGGGACTGGTAGACCATATCACTTTCAAAAGGCCAGTACAGTCATCTATGTTCTTGTCTTTAGTGAGCTATAGTAGGCTTCCATAGTCTCTATAGAATCAACTCTATACATAGATAATAATATGTATATGAGTAAAAAGGTCATCTTGTAGGTTTAAAGGAAAATTAGGTCGAGAAATGCTGCTTCTCTAAAGCAATAGGTCGAAATCAAGACCATCTCTGTTCTGGACTGAAATTCTCAACAAAACTATACTATTAAGAGGATGGTACATCTCTGAAATATGTTTCTTAAAGGGATTATTTTATTCTGAACTTGATCTGCTTTGCCTAGTTTCTTTAAAATAGCAGTATTTATATTGGAACGTGAATATGTTTCAGTCCAGGCTGGTTGCTTGCTTTTGACAGTTCAGACTTTCATTTCACATTCTGCTGTTCCAGTTCTAATCTCTCTGTAAACATTCACCTTATTTAAGCCTTGTGAAGTCCAAAGTGGTTTTTAATGAAAGAGAATTCTGCCTAGGAACTCAAGCACTTTAAGACATACAGTTTCAAAAGAGTGATGTTGAAATGAAGTAAGAAGGAAGTCACAGCCCTACTGATCAACCTAAAGTTGATACTAACCTATATGAATTGAGATGACAGGAATGCAGGATTGGCCCAAAGCATCTTGAAGTCCTGAAGCATTAAAATTAATTTATCATTAAGATTACTTTGTGCTTCGAAGAACTGTCAGGGGGATGTGGGGAGGAGGAGAAAAGGAATTTACCAGAGCTGGATGAGTGAAGTTGAACATGCAGATGCATGGCCACAAACATGGCTTGGAAAACCCTACAATGAAAGCCATATCTCTAAACTTTTGAAGATTGGATGTTTTTTCAATATGATACAGTGAAAATCTTGAGACTCTTTTGTATGTGATTATCTGTGAATGTAGTTAACACATGGTTGAAAGTGGAAAAGATAACTTAAATATAAAAATATATCTGCATAGGACAGACAAAATATGTTTTCAATCTTAAGCACAGTTCCGTTATTAAAAGGCTGCTAACAAGGTTGGAGTTTGACAAATTGGGGTTTCCAGGGAAGAAATGGCAGAGCCAGCAACCGCAGAAGAATGAAGAGCCAGCAAGTAGACCAGCTCTTCATAATTCCTCTCCAGACAAGGAGAGGACTTGAGATTGCCCACAAGTATTCCATACAGTTATTCCTTGCAAGGAGACCACAAGACAGTGCTCCCCAGCAGGTTTAGAGCTCTGGGAAATGATGTAATAGCCATCTTGCTCAAACTGCAGTCGGTGCCTTTGAAAGGACACTGGGTTCGCATGCTTCCTTTTCTAATCACTTTCAGAAATTGCTTGTCAGCTATTAGGAACCTTTGGACTGACAAGTTTTACAGCACCGGGTGAGTTTCCTTCAATCCTTAATGAAATAAATTTTAAATACAAGTTTAAGGACTTTATTTTTTTTCCTTTTGGAATAAACAGCAAAAGGGTGATTAGAACTTTGATTTTGGAAAGTTACAAACAGACTAAGGGTCCAGCTGGATTAGAAATAAGATTTTGTAATTAATTATAAGAATCCTTCCTATGGGAAAATGCTTTTGTTTTGAATTTTCTTTAAAAAACATAGGATGAGACTTTGAAGGTTGGATACTAGAGGGAACCAGAAAGAACTAAAGATTATAATTAAAGAAGAAGAACACTTAAATTTGACTTACTAATACAGAATGGAACAAAATATTTTAACATTGGACTTATTGAAGGATATTTTTGAACAATGGACCCAGAAGTTAATTTTAAAAGTGTGTGCCTCTATAGATAGACTGTGTTTAAAAGATATTATAGAAGAGGAACAAGTTTTACCAGACAAGATTGAAACTGATGTGAAAGTAGATTTGAAAATGACAGACTGCAAGAGTGATATGGAAAAAGATGTTACACTGGATATACAAATGAAATTGGCTGATGCCTTAATAATTGAAAGGGATGTGCAACTGGCAAACCAAAAGAGTGTCTTGGATAACTTTATAACATTGGATCTATAAAAGAGATCTGTTAAATTTCTGAAGGATTTCGTGAGAAGGGACAAAGAAAAAATGAAAAGAAATCAAGTTCTAGGACATGATTTGAAAGGACTAAAGATCAAGATTGTTAAAAGTAAAAGGAAGGAATTTAAAGTTGGTTTATTTGATCAAGGTTAAAATAGA